TCATCTGAAGAAACATTACTTAGCTGAAGCCTTCGAAATCTTCATATTCATGTTGGGAGCCTGATTGGCACGCAAATCCTACTAAGCGGGACTACTTGAGAAAGCACATTTATTGAAGGTACGTTGATCTATTCCCCATGGGTTTCTTACAGGTTAGCACCATCAAAAAAGAGGACTCTGAAAACCACATGGAATCACCGCCTAGAAATTCGGCCAGGCATCGCAGAGGGTTCATCAGCCTCGGGAACTGTAGCAGAAGCAGGAGGGCTCCAGCTAGATGCCATTTTTTAATGTAGCACTTCCTGATTGCGAGGGCTCTAACACTTTCAAGAGGTCGTGCAAGTGTTGTGTAAGCAGCTGTCTGCACATGATTTTTGGCATCAACATCCAAAGTGGCTATTGTTGTCAAGCCATGGCAGCATCAGTTTAATTATATATTTAATCAGCATGGCTCACTAAGGGTGAATTCCACTGGTATATCCGGAGCAGCCTCTTAAATCTTGTAGCGAGCACTCGAATTCTGATAAGCCAGATCATGAATGCTCGCATGAGGTTGCACCAGAAGTTGTTTACGCTTATGTACTAAACCGGTACCGGAATTAATTTCTTCTTTTCGTTCTCTGCGTTTCCTTGGCCACTGTGTCACCACTACAAAGTGCGCAGTTCGACTGCAGTGTGACTAGACACCACACCACCTTGAAAGACACTGAAGACAACCTAGCTGCCCGACTGCACTGGAAATGATGGCAACGCATTCTCAGAGTTTTGCCAAAATCAATCAGTCGCTACAAGACGGAGCGGATGGGACGCTTCGTCGCGTCCCATGCGCTCAGAATTTGCCAGTAAGAAATGCGAATTTGCACTGAATCTACCATCGATATGCAGATTCTCAGCTGTTCAGCAAGAAAACTTGCTCCCGCTTCACGAGTGGAATTCGCCATAAGATGAGCTAACATGTGTACTCTTGTTTCTTTGTCCGAATGTTCTCATCCCATATTCAGAGATGCTCGTTTCTTGGTAAAACCCGGCTTTCAATCAGTCTGTCAAATAACATTTATTTTCACCAAGAACAGAAACCATCACAGTGAAGAAAGTTAACCACATAGAACTCTGCCTAATTACAGCTTAACATAGCCCCAGGCATGGATCGATCGTGAAAGCAGGATACGAAGCTCAAATTTAGCTTCACAGGTGAATGTAAGCACACATACTTGCATTCTTAGACAATATTTTCACACTCGGAAAATTTGTGAAACAGTGTACAAAGTGTACGCACATATTTCATGAGTTTAACAGACCTATGCAAAAAAAGGAATATTATCTGCAGAAAGGGTATACAATATTGCACCTTAATACAAGTACTCAATGCTTTTAAAAGTGCAAAGGAGTACATAAAGTGCCTTGAAATATAAAAATGACAGAAGACGTATTTTTGTGTGTGGTAACGTTCTGTTCTTAGTTCATTCTTTTGTAAGGAATAAAATTACTGTTTGTAGCGGGTCCTAGTGACAGTATGTGGATTTGGCTACATATCCCACACTCATACACAGCACATTCTGTATGGTTTTAATAAGCATGGAAAGTGCAGGGGGTTGAAGTAATGTGGCAAATTGGGTTAGTTATAACATACTCATCACTTTCATTCTCGTGTACTTTTTACGCTGATCGTGATGAGTGTGCAGGGGGTTGATAATGAAAAGAGTAGAAAACATTGTTTGGGGGAAGGTTTACAAAACGGTAAGGTGTCTGATTCGCGAACTACTGCCTTCTTGGAAATAAGTTCTGCGGAAACCCGCAAAGTGGCGGAAGTGTTAAGACGGGCAAAAAAGACAACCACCTGTTTGTAGCATGAAGCCACAAGGTTAGCTTCCTGGTTAGCTCAATCGGCAGAGCGACTGCACCGGGAAGGCATTGGTGCCGGGTTCGAACCCCAAACTAGGACGAATTTTTCGGCAACTGAGAGGCCCTTTGTTTTTTTAAAATCTGTAGGTTTGTGCTACAAACGAGTTGTCTTCCTTCCCTTTCTTACTGCCTTCTTGTAAAAGACTAGTTATTTGTAATTATATACATCTGATATTCTAATGATTTTGTATTTGAAAATAGATGCATCATGCACTAGAAGGGAAGCATTTGTATGCCCGTATTGTGCACCTTCTTTTTCTAGTCCTTGTACCTCTGTGCACTGCTAAAATCTGGATGAATCCATGACAACTCTTTCAAATTTCAATTCTCCCACAGGTCACGGATCGAATCCCGGCTGCAGAGGCTACATTTTCGATGGAGGCGAAAATGCTGTAGGCTCGTGTGCTCATATATGGGTGCAACTTGCACCCCAGGGGGTCTAAGTTTATATATATGTATATATATATATATATATATATATATATATATATATATATATATATATATATATATATAAACTCACACATGTGTGTATATGTAAACGTTATTGAAGGGATCTAGCATGCCCTAATGCAATAGTAGGCAGTTATTTCGGTCACAGCTAATGTTTTAGTGCAATTTATCTCAACATTCTCGCCATCCTTTAAGAAGACCTGCACAATGTCCCCGGATAAAGGCCAGTCCCGTGGTCGAAACGCCCGCATATATTGCGCTAAAATGTATATTGGGTCTCAATTACCTGCGTATCTGTATCTATCTGTGTGTGTGTAGGTGTGTGTGGTCTTTCCTTAGAAATAATGAAAAAGAGATTTCCATGCTGCCTTCATAATTACTTTCTCTGTCGCAGCAGACGTTTTAAGCTTAGTGGAGACATCAATTATGATAGGAATTCAGTTGACTGCCAGGGATAGCCAACACTGCAACTAATTTCTGTTTCACAGGCAACGCCGCCACAACTAATGTTAGGCAACTGTACATTTAATACATTTATTCATGATTTGTATTGCATGGTTGCTGGCTAAGGCCCACTACTTCACATTTTATATTGTTCGTCTTCTACACTAATATTGCCAGATGTAACAAACGGTATGTCTTTCTATGGGTGAACCCATGCAAAGTTTCTCATAAAGTTACAAACATTTATTTCACTGTTAATGAATCGATGTAGACTGTGAATCACCTGTGGTGCATGCTCACACACTAAGGGCTGTGGTATGCAGATATGCATCACACATTTGCTATGGGAATGTGTTTATGGCATACATCACAGCATTTCGTGTTATTTGCCATGATCCAAGTTTTTTTCACCAGCGCTTTACCTGTTTGCAAAGTGCTCAGTCGTGTTTTAGACAAGTTGCTGCACATTATATTTGGTCAGGTAATCGAAATACCAATATGCAATGCTCTTAGTCCTACAGTTAGAGATTCTGGCCGTGCATGAAGTTCGAAGCTGCAGTTCTGAGCATTCTATGCTGCATATACTTCATAACGCAGTTCAAGGTGCAGATCTATGAAATGTCTGGCTGGTAGTGCTTAGTGGGGTCAATCGGCAAGAAGTAATGATTAAAACTAACTTTTTCTGATTACTTCTGCAAAATTGTTCATATTCATGGCTGATAAGACATTTGTAATGTGCTTTTCGAGCTCTAATATACTTTAAATTTGGTGTAAAACTTTTGCGTTCCAAAATTTCGAATAGCTTTAGTGCTTTTCAAGTCAAGGCAAATATCATACTATCCGAATTAAAGATTTAAAGTATCGAATATTTGGTCGCCCCTAGTATTTACTTAATGAAGGACTATTCACTCAGTTACTAAGAAATGTAGTTTATCACAAGTAAATTGTTAAGTGCGAGTCTGGTTGATACATAGCGGCAAAAGCTTTTGTGGGTGGGCTGTGTGCACAGGGGCCATCTTTAACAGCATTCTCTCTCCTTTTGCAGATGTGTAACCATTCCTTCTATGGAGCATCGTAGAAGTCGCATGCTTCTAACATCTGCACAAGGCCATCACACCAGCCGCTTCACAAACATCGCTCATTTGTTAACTGTTATGCAGCTCTTAGATTGGTTTGTGTACTTGAGATTGTGTCAGTGATGTGATCATGTTTACTGGCTTCTGCGTCTGATTCCTCTGGTGTGCAGCTGAAAAAAAAAAAAAAAATGGGCAAGTTACCATCGCACATTGTAAGGATGTATTGCTATTGGCCCTGCAGCTTTCTTTTGGCACTTCAAAATGACATACATTGTTTACAGTTTGCATAAGTTAATATGCAACTTGCAGTGAAAACCTTGTGCTATTTTATTTATTTAGCTTTTATTTGCGTTTCTGTTGTTTTGTTGTGCTTTCAAACTGACACAGTTTGAAAAGAAACGTCGACTTACTCATATCTATTTTTGTCTGTACAGTCGCTTTAACTAGGAACATAAATGATCTTATATATGGCTGTATTCTCAACCATCATGAAAAATTGGGCTGTTTTCGTATGATTAACTTTTTTAATAAGGCCTTTTTAGTAGCACTTCATGTTAATTTAGTCTTGTTCTTACATTTCAAGATCCGTTGATGCATTTGGCATGCTCATCATAAGAATACTATCATACCTAATGTGCATGGTATGTTTAAGTTAATTTGTTACAATGAGAAATTGAATGAGCTTTGATCATAGAAGCGTACTAAGATAGCCCGACATATGGGACCTCTGTCTTCGTAATCATTAGGCATAATCACTTGTACAGTCAATTCTGGATATATCAAACTCAGAAGGTATCGTGAAATAGTTTAAGAGATAAATAATTCAGAATACAATACATTCGTACTTGAGGCTTGTTTTACTTCTAATAGACTGAGCGTGCAAACATCAATACAAGAAAGAAGTCGAGACATCACCTACACCGACCGACAATTGCAAAGGCACACAATAATGAGAAGAAAAGACAAGCCCCCAAAAATAGGCGTATCTATCTATCTATCTAGCATGTTTGGGGGTGCCTGTGTGAGCAATAACTAATGTCATATTTCTTCTTAATGCAAGTTACTTGTCCATTGACCCGCACATGCGCTACCATTATCATCAATGTGCCATGCCTCAATCATTAAATGTGTGCAAAATGCCAGTGCAAAACTTTGCCTTCATCAAACGGTGGGTGTGCACTTAAACGTTTGGCAGTGTAACAACGGAGGCTTAGCTTTTAATGTTTCTTTTTATCACAGAGAGTATATGTGCACGCTGAAGGTCAATGGATGCACAGTTGTACGAGCACAGAAACGATGAAGTGCATTCAATGATTGAGGCATGACATATAGATAATAGGGGTAGTGCATGTGGGAGTAAACCATCAATTAGCTTGTATAATTAAGAAACCAAATGCCTTATCAGTTATCTGTAACATAGACTCCCACATGTTCCAGATTGACAGATTCTCCCATTGCCTTGACATGCGCAGATAAAATTACGTGCCTTCTTTCTTTTTCGCCACTGTGCACCTTTGCAGTTGTTAGTCGGAATTTGTATCGTATTGATTTCATTTTTGCATATGCGTTGGCATACCCTGTCTTCCAGGATGAATATTTACCAACTATCTCAGCTCTTAGTTATTCTAAGGTGGTGTTAAAGCGTGCAACTCTCAGATTGATATCACGAAACTCTAGCAAGCGGGAAGTTGAGCCACATTTCCCGACAATAAGCGAGAGAGCAATGAAATAACTTATTATTTTGCAAATTACTGCACTTTCACATGAAAACATTCTGTAAGCTCGTCTTGCTTCTCGGGCCCCAACATGTTACTGAAGCTAAATAAGCAAATCCTGCTATTTTTTTTATAATTATTAAATCTATATAAGGAGAGGATGGTGCCACTGTGTGGCGCCGGCTACTCCTCTTGCACAACAATCGACATCGTATATTAGATAAAAAACACGAGGTGATACATAGTTACATAGCACAGCACTTATGCACTAAGTCCAGATTTTTCAAAACAAAAATCTGTCCACACCACACAGAATTTGGAAAAACACAAGTAATAACAATTAACTTGTTCACACAAAAATGAATGTTCTCTAAAATCCTGCACTTTCTATTTCACCAAAATAGCAATGTGTGATCTTGATTGCTCATGCAAGCTCTGAAAAGCATCGCAATGCTGTTTTGCATCAGCTTCAGCACCTTCATCACTGCTATTCACTGCTCTACTTTCATGACACTGCTGGCATCAAGCATGATCTTCACACTGGTGCAGCCAGAAACATCTACACTGTCATTAGCATCGGCGAAGTTGCCATACTAGATTGAACCTGGGGTCACTGTTAACTAAAAATTAATTGAAGCACCATTCTCCTCAGTCCTGAAGCAAGCTAGATCATCACCTGGCATCAAAGCTTGTTTCATGAAAATCGTTCGTAATGTCGTTTGTGGAGGGGGCCTGCGTGTCATTTCATGCACCAGTGTTTATCTCCGTTTATTTTCATTTGTTCGAGGAGGTTAATTGTCAAATCAGTAGCTAAGTGAGATGTGCATAAGCTAATACTACTTAGTACTGCAAGAAAGACAAGTAAGCTATGGATAAACATCCTTTGGCCTTTTGGTGATCGCACTCGTGGCCTTCTTGTAGAAAATACTGCTCTTGTCCGGCAAGCAAAGGAAAGAATCTGTCACGTGCAGCTAAAGAAAGCATGGCCTTAGAAATCTGTCCTTGTTAACTGAAATGCTGCTATGAGGCAGTAGATCTTGAAGGCTATGTTTCAGGGGCCTGCAAGTCATTGTGGTGGGACAACCGTATGTGTGGGCTCATTGCATCACTTCTCTAGCAGTACTTATCTGCAAAGAGCTAAGAACACGTGCAAAACATTTGTTTGTTCAGTGCGCCCGATCTGCTTGAGTAGCATTAGGTTTGTGTAGGTAAAAGTCATTGTAAAGTGCAGCAACATTTCTTAATTTTCTGGTGCCGCAATTAAGTTGCACCTGAGTGTGTCACACTGTTTTCATTGCCTGCTTGTTCTACCTGTGTCATTGCAGGTTTCTTGCTTTTGGAGTCTTCTGAAATATACGATTCACTCGTTACCGTAAAAGATGGACTGCATTCTTGCCGCCTGTGCACCTTTACGAGCAGGATAAGACGAGTCATGAGAGTGCACCTTCGCAAACACACAGGCGAGCACCCCTTCCGGTGCCACTTGTGTCCTGCTGTGTTCAATCACGACTGCGACCTCAAGCGGCACTTGCGCTCTCACATAGGGGAACGTCCCTTTTCCTGTACGCACTGCACCTCATCCTTTACGCAGAGGTCCCATCTGAAAGTGCACCTGCGTACCCACACAGGAGAGCGTCCCTACTCCTGTGTCTACTGTCCTGCATCCTTCACCTCGAAGTACACCCTCACGACGCATTTGCGCGGCCACACAGGGGAGCGTCCTTTTTTCTGTGTGCACTGTGGCTCAACTTTTATGAAAAAGTACAACCTTAAGATCCACATTTCCCGTTGTCCTGTATTGAAGGAATCCTAAGGCTCAGTGGTGCACAACCATATTTGCGGGGTAAAAGAAGAGTGGATTGATTAAACTAATTTTTCATGAACGGAGGCAACCTCTCATGTGCATAAAACTGTTCAGGGCTGAAGCTCCTCTTAGTATAACCTCCGCATGCGTCACGCGTAACCGATAGAAGAAGAAAACGAGGAAAAAAGGGAAGGTACCAGAAAATGTAAGACCAAAAATATTGTAATTGTTGAATAATTGTTGTATATTGTATATTGTTTCTCTTAGCATGGCCCTTTGCGACAAAGAAAAAGGCTTTGAAAGGGCAGCACTCTTAGAGGTCTCCTGCTCACAACAGTGTATCACTCAGCTTTAGTGTAATGTTATTTTTTTTTTGCACAACTTCATGGTACTGATTGGCACTGCTGGCAGCTTGAACCTCTAGTTGTCTACCTCTCACTGCGAGGGCAGTATGGCCGTGCAGGAGTTGTACTGCCCCAGCTTCTATTGACTTAAGTGGCGACTGTGGCGTCGATGTGCTGTCAGCAAAAAAATCAGTGTTGTCGATGAGCAAAACTTCATATTAAATGCAAATAAATAAATAATGAAAAAATTTTCACTTTGAATGAGAATTAAATCCATTTGTGTGGCAAGCAGATTTTTCTAAATGTTTTATGGTAAAATATGCCTGTCACGAAAGTCGCCAATTAACATGTGCTGCGCATAGTGTCCTAAAGTATGCCATGAAAAGGAATTTTCCCACTGGCGTCAAGGGCGAACGCGATATAATTTGTCTCAAAGAAAGGTACATCGATCGTGAGCACAGACGAGTGACTTAGCTTGAGCTGTAGGAATATGAACCTTGTAAGGGAGCATCCGCGCTGCATGTCAAACCATGTGCTCTTGTTATTGTGTATATTTTTAATTACTCACCGTGAAGGTGACCGACAGCAGACTCTGAACCACAGGATGTTTCATCCGGGCTACATGTTAGACTGTGTGCCTTTGTGGCTGGTACTTTGTGTGCGAGTCGATTGTTTCCAGTGAAGTGTTAACCACAGAAGCAACCAACGCGTATGTGACCATTTCAAGGATGCATCCAAACTACCCCAGAACTTCGGACCGGCGCCCGGTAAACCTTATATAAAACATTCCGATCCTGTTATTCAACAGGGTGCTGAACTCCCAAGAAGAGATCCATGCTGAGATCTCATGACATGAGGCAGCGGACAGCGTGTCCAGAAAATCAACCCCCCTGTCTTCATGAAGCTGTCGCCGACCCTTCTCGCCGACTCTCAAGGGTCATTTATAAACGGCGCCGGTGTTTAGAGACTCTGCTGCGCTCCGTTCCGAATGTAATTCACTTCAACTTGGTGCACTGCGAACTCTAATTATTGGTTCTGGTCTTGCTGTTTGGTCATTCATCTGTTATTGAGCATTGTCTCTGCATACTGTAACTTTCCTCCATGCTCGCTTCACTGGTATCGTGAAATGTATAACTAGTCCACCTTTCTTTAAATGCATTATTAAATCTCTTGCTCTTCGTATCAAAAAAGACCTCCACTCCTTTATACCGGCGATTGGTGCAAGCCATACATCAGAGGCCCAACCTCGTGCCATGACTTGAAGGAGCTTGTGCTTCGGTCCCGAGTTGTGACAGTGCCAACGCGTGTGGTATTGCATAATAGAATCAGAGGATCTCACCATGTGTCAAAGCATGTGAATTGTTCAAGTAGTGGGTGGCTGCCCACCCATTACAAAGAGTACATGTGCGCATGGCACTTTGTGGATGCATAATGGTTACTTGGCCCATATGTAAAAAAGAAGAATTATGGTGTAGTGGGCATTTAAGAACCTTACTTGCAGTAGGCATTTCTGAGTAGATTAAAGTGGCCAATGTTACGCACTGAAACGTTCCTTTGCATGCAACATGTTTGAAGGCAATGCGCACGATGCATGATGAAGCGGTATGAGCCTTTGGACAGAAGATGAAGAAGCGCGAGGGCCGGGGCAGGAGAGAAGAGGAGGATGAAGTGAAAAAATAAAGCAGATTAAGATGGACGCCAGTTCCATACTGAAGCTTTAATGCTGTTCCGTTATTTTAAGTAGGAACACTACATTATTTTGGCGCAGCCGGCCATCGAAGCCATCATGTGGGTGACGTTCTTCATAGACGAGACCTCCGAGGAGATCATCTTTTCGAAGTACCAAGTTCAAGACGAAGCAGCGGTAGACCTACCTCGTGAGCTCAGCTCGGAAGAACTCGTAAACCTGGTTGTGGAAAAGGCAGCCGTAGACACTACTGAACTACGACGGAAAGGTGCTGTGAAAGTGAACTTGCGTGTGGCGACCTTCAACGACCTAGTTCTTGAACCAGCGCGTCGAAAACACTCAGGATCACGATCTTCGACGGAAGAGGTGAGCCTCGTTTTGAAAGCTTTTCAGCTGCAACAGGAACAGATGATTCAACAAAACCAAATAATGACATCTCTTATAAGCTCTCTAAATGCTGAGAGACCGACACCTAATTTCGTAGAACCTGATGCTTTCGACGGTGTGTCTTCAAATCCAGAAAGTTGGCTTGATTTCTACGAATATGCCGCTGGAAAAAACAAGTGGCTCTCTGATGAGGCTAAAATCACCAACATGCGCGTTTACTTGAGAGGTGTTGCGCGAAAGTGGTATGAAACATGCATTCTGGAAGACAGTGACGACTCTTGGAGCCAGTGGAGGAAAAAGTTTTTGACTGCATTCCGAAGCAATCCAGTAGAAAGATGGAACACGGCGCTTAATTTCAAGTCTGAGCAAAGCTGCCTTGTCGAGTACTTCTTTGAGAAACGCCGTCTTTTAAAGCTGGCGGAGCCTTTGCTTCCATCTACGGCCGTAGTTGCCTTAATAATGCATGGATTGCACACTAACGTGTTGAAGCAAGTGCAAATACTGTCACCAAAGACTCTAGATGACCTCCTCGCGTGTCTTCAGAACATACCATCAGCTTCGGAAACAAGCATAACCGCCGAGTCAAGCAGCTGTTTCAGTCGGAGTAAATCGGACTGGTCAAGCCGCGCTCAGCGAGAACCGAGCCACCTCGCAACTCGCACAGATAACTTGCCCTGGCGTGTTCCAAGAGGTCGAGTGAATAATATCGACACTGAAGCTCAGGAGTATTCGACAGAAAAAAAACTAATAAACGAGGGTGATCAGTCCCACCCGATGACTCCAAATGAGACTGTTTATTTAAGTTGCTCTAGCCTACTTCACATTCCCGTCAAAGTAGGAAACAAACATATGATGGCTCTGGTAGACAGCGGTGCTTCTGTGTCCATTATAAATGCCAAGCTGGTGGATGCAAATCGCTTGCATAGTGGAAGAATTCTACGAGTACAAGGCTATGATGGAAAAGTAACGTTGCATGATCAGTGGGCCTTGGTAAACATCGAGTTCCAGGGTCAGCAAATAGAGAGCGAAGTGTTGGTGATAGAGGGGGTAACGTACGACTTTTTGCTATCAAGACCAGATATAAAGAAACTAAAGATCAACGTGTACTGGGACGATGTGGTTCTAGTAGAAGGAGTAGCAAGGAACGAGACAAATCAGGGTAGACAAGATAATCTACGAGTTGTCAAGTGCGCGGAGGATATCGCAACGACCTACCCTGAACTTGTATGCATAGGAAGCTATCCTCAGGCGATGAAGTCCCACAAGGTTCCTTTCGAACTCGCTGACAAGACCGTCATCCGGAAAGCACCTTACAATATGTCAAGGGAGCGAAAGATGTGGCTCAAGAAAGAGTTGCAGGAGATGCTAGATGCTGATATCATACGACCTTCGGTATCACCCTTCGCTTCTCCCATAACGATCGCACCGAAAGAAGACGGAACCTTCAGATTATGCACCGACTACAGGGTTCTCAATCGTCAGACAGAACTCATACCATTTCCTATGCCGAAGATCGACACAATTATAGATGAGACCGGGGGTTGCCGACATTTTTCCCGCATCGATTTATGCAAAGGTTTCTGGCAGATCCCACTAACCGAAGAAACAAAAATGTACACCGCTTTTATCACGCCATTCGATCTCTACGAGTATAACCGGCTCCCTTTCGGTTGGAAAAAACTCACCATCGTGGCTCTAGAAGATCATGAACGACGTGCTAAAGCCATTCCTTGGTGTTTTCTGTAATGTGTACATAGACGACATAATAGTCTTCTCCAAAACAGAGGCTGAGCATCAGGACCACCTGTCTCAGTTGTTAAACGCCTTGAGCTTTGCAAATGTCAAGGTTAATTTTAAAAAGAGTGTATTCTTTTAATGAAATGTTGTGTTTCTTGGACGAGTCTACGACGGGAACACCAAAAGCACGAGACAAAAGTTCGTTGAGAAGATCTCGCAGTTGAAGAAACCATATGACGTTCATTCATTGCGTGTGTTTTTGGGATTGGCAGGACATTTTAGATCTTTCATAAAGGACTTTGCTGTCAAACGAGTTGTCTCACACGTTTAACACAGAAAGACGTTCCCTTTGAGTGGAGCGAAAAATGTGAAAGAGTCTACCGTGACTTGGTGTAGAGAATTTCTTCTGACCCCGTTCTGCGTATACCAGATTTCACTTTACCCTTTGAATTGAACACTGACGCCTCACATTATGGGACTGGTGCAGTGTTGTATCAAAAATGTATTGAAGCATCTGGCCGAGAAAAGCGACACGTAGTCGGTTACTACAGTTACACTTTCAAGCCGTCTGAAACAAACTACACTACTACGGAAAAAGAAGCACTGGCGGTTCTGAAGGCCGTTGACTACTTCCGCACGTACCTGGAAGGTACGAAGTTCACTTTGTTCACCGATCACCAGGCACTCACTCATCTCTTGAATATGACCCAAACTAAAGGGCGTATCGCCAGATGGGTGAATTACTTGCAGCAATTTGACTTTACCATCTCGCACCGACCCGGACCGCTTTTAAACCGATGCAGATGCTCTATCAAGATTGATGGTACAAAACAACACAGAAAAATCTGA